CCCATGGGTGGGCCACACGTCAGGCAACCGAAGAGCAAATTAGACACAACCGGAAGCAGCGACTCGTCTAATGAGCAGACATTCGCTTATACGAGGGATCGGCTGTTGGGCGCCGTCGAGAAAGTGAGGAGTGGTATGCTATTAGCCCGCGCCTCCCCCTACAGACACGAAGGTATGGCCACTGAATGCTCATCTATTTAATGATTGCATCAATTAATTACAATTCATATATCCATTAGAAGGCACCCAAACGCCCACTTCGTTGCAAACGCCGTCCCAAACGCCTATTGATAAGGCATTACTGGAGCCGCCGGATGGGCCGCTCCGCCAACGGAGACCCACTCCCGTCCGCTTTGCCGACGACAACGACGTGTTTATCGATGACAATCAAACCCACACTCGCTATCGGGCGCCACACCCGCCGAGTCGGACGTCAATGACGTCCATGTCTTCGGGCAGAGGGAGCAGTGGTCACGACGGGTCCGGAAAGACCACATCTCTGTCCCACTCGAGGGGCGACTCATTCCAAAACTCGCCGCAAAGCGAACTCCAGTCCACCTCTAATATCATCGATAAGACCGCGTCCAGCAGTTCCGGTATTGTGAGCGCAACGCTATCATCAAACCTGCATTCCTCGACGTCTCCCGGACAGAGTTCAGGCATCTCTGCCTCATCCGTGTCGGGCACTACTCATCGCCGCAAACATCACACAGACGTGCAATCCTTGCGAAACAAGTCATTCCCACATAAGACCCGTTACGCGGGCATTGAATCGCCGCAATCGGAGCCCATATTCCCCTCCTATGCGCCACCGATGGAGCCGTTGGACGTCTCGGTCGACGAGAACTACGAGTTTGACTCCATATCGCCTCTGGAGGCGGAACTGATCGAGAAGTTGCGCGGAGAACAACAGCGATGGCGTCAATGGCAACAACACCGACGACCGCCGCCACACCACCAACAGTCACAACCACTACACTATCCATACCAATCACAGCCACAACAACACAGCCAAAGGACACCATTCAGTGACTCCGAAGTGTACGGAATCGTGTCGTCCAGACGTCGACACGAAGACGCGGACGCGAGATGTGCGGCACTGAAGGAAGAGTTCTTCCGATTCCGACGGCGACAGCAATACCTCCAACAACAACAACATAACGACACCAGAGATGCCGACCAGAGCTCTTCGGACGAGTTTGAGAGCGCCTGTTAGTAGTGATCACTGATCACAGCCCGCACACACACCACCCCATCGTCAGTGACCGCCGACTTCTTCATTAAGACTTTCAAACAAATTGTTATTTATTTTGTGAAAACTGAAGACTGAATTTCATATGAAAATCACTGCCAAAAACACTTTTCATTTCGCTTTTATAATACAAAAAGTTTTAATCATTTTTTAGTGCAAAATAAGAGAAAATAATTTATGGAAACGATTAATGAATTCAATGTTGGAATTCATGGATAGACTTAATTAAAACATTGAATTGTTATTTGTTTTTGAATCTCTATATATGTATATAAATATATTAATATTATTATTTAAATTTGTATTTAATGTTTGATATATACGGATAACTATTTATTAAATGAATACTCAAATCACAGGTTTGTGTTTTGAGGTAAAATAACAATTATTTAGGAATAAATCATGATTTGTGCCAAAATATACGTTAAACTAAATAATAAGACAACTAAATGGCAAAAACAGATTCCTCTGTATTCACAAGAATATCACTCATTGGGACACAAATTAATCATAAAAACAAAGTTTTTATACAAAACCACACAAATTTGCTAACATTTTATGTTAAATTGTATATAATTTTATTTGTAAATTATATTTATAATTATATTTATGTTCAAATAACAGACACAAAATTACCACAAATTTACTTTAAAACTTTTAATTTCAATGTTGAATATAATTCCAGTGCATTGTATTAATTGAATAGAGAATATGTATAGTTAGATAGGAATGAGATAAAAATGTATGGGAATATTAATGATGATAATTCTATTGTAATAGAAAACTCTCGGTTAAATTTAACAAAATTTAATGATAATTAATAATCCTTTTGCTCACATATTTGTATTAATACAAGAAAAATATAATTTGAGTTCAAATTACGGGAGAGTTTTAAATAATGTTTTGTTTAATTTTTGTTTTTATTATTTAATGAACAAACATTTAAAAAAACAATATCTAAAACCAATTTATGTATAGAAACAACAATAATATATTCAAAGACAAATTGACAAAAAATACATAAAAACTTTTACATAAAAATTACTATATATTAAATGAGAAAACAAATTGTAGTTTATATTTATATTTCTAAACAAAAGTTGACAAAAAAATTATTAAAATATATTCTGTGATAATAAATAATATTTCATTTGACATATAATTATATATATTTTTCCTGATTTTATAATGATGTCTATAATTGCGCTTATTTTCAGGACTTATGTTTGAGCCCCTCGTTATCGGTTTAATCTGTAGGTATTATTATAATATTAATATTAATATACAGATCATCAATGCGTTACTTTTAATGACTTTACACTAATTAAACTTTTTTTATGAGATAATTATTAAAATAATGCTAATTTTTTTACTAAATTTACTTTAAACACTGCTTTTTTGCTGTTATTGTTAGGAATTGTTTTGAACACAAAACTAATGTTCATTAGTACCCGATTAACGGTTGGTTAACAACAAACAAAAGTTTATTCATTGGAAAGCATTATTTTGTTAAATATATTGTGAAATATCTTTAGGTTGCGATCGGAATCTAAAGTAAACTGAAATGTGATTTATTGTTAATTAGCAATAACCGTATTTTTCAAACGGTTTATACCAAACAAAAGCAATTAAATTAGCATTTTATTTACGGTCTATTGAGAAGACCGGTTAATAAGATGAGACCCGAGCTCTTGTGTCTGACGGCGAACAGGAAGGGACGGTCGGCGCGAAAAGTGGGCACATTTCGGTACCGACCGAACAGACCCCTGGAGTTGGCCACCGGACCGGTCGTACCATTTGTCGCGTATCCCTCTTCGGACACTTCTAACATAGTATTATGAAAGAGCTCTGAAATATGCAAATAATTGGTGCCATCGATGCCGGACAGGTCTGACTTGTATGTGAACACCTGTTGCAAACCGAGCGCCTGTAGGCTACTCTTCAGCGTATAGGAGGTCTCGATCTGAAACTTTGGCAACACTAGCCGTACGGTCGTAACCGTTAGGTTATTGATCGCCTCCGCAAACGTAGTAGACGTGAGCCTCTGGCACACGGATCTCACGCCAGTGGTCTGGTTAGGCAGCAGGACATACATCGACACGTCCGACGCCGTACTGTACGGCAGTTCAATGAGTTGGCTGTTGTCCAGCGCTGGAAGTGTTGTGTAATTGAATGCATTGGAGAGTTTCATATGCGGTGTTTTGATGGCTTTATTGAATGTATGGAAATCTTCCTCCTTTGTGGCCCATTTCAGAAACTGTTGCCTCCATTTGCCCTGAAGTCGTGTCCAATGAAATAGTAATAAATTAGAGCTTAAAATTTTAAAACTTTAAAACCTCTCTCTCTCTCTCTCTCTCTCTCATGGTTTTAATGCTTAATCATTATATTATGTGAAATTCATTGCAATCAATGCACACTAAAAAACTGTTTGCATTTGAATATACGATAAATGATTTTAAATTAGATAACTTCGCTCCACAAGAGAAGTGGTAATGGTTTGACTGACTTTCTTGTTATTATATAACAGTAGGAAAAATTTGTTACACTTTTTATTATGAAACACTAGATTTCCTAAAACTGATTTGAAATGTTTACTCGAGTAATGATTTTTAATGAGAAATTAACCACAAAAGCACTCACTTTAAAGTAGACGGCGTTCAGGAGGACTAATACACTCAATGGACTCAACGGCTCGGCCAACATCTTCGCCACCTTTCCTCTACTCATACGAGCCATCCATTCATTGATCTCTTTGACCGTTGCCTCGCTTTTGAACAAGAAGTCGACGGTTTGTATACTTGCGTTAAAATTGTCTCTCAATTGAGTAGAGTATCGCTCAAGTATCGGATTCCTCGACTGTGCGAACAGACCATTGGCTACAATCAGCTCATTATTGTTGGATTTGTTGCCAAACAACGTGTCAAAGAGTTGTCTGTACTGTTGGGCCACTTGTTGTTGAGTGAGATTATACTGTCTTAAAGCCATCAGATCCTGGAGTTCGGCGGCTGTCCTGTCGTTTGCGCCCAAATATATCATATTTAATAGGCTTGCGATCGCCAGCGGAGAGATCAACACATTGTGCTCGTCATCCGCTAATCTCTTCAGCAAATTGAACGCCAAATGATTGTTTGCATCCGAAATGCTTAACGTATTATCACTTATAGTTTGTCTG